CCTGAAAACATGCATGTTAGACTTTCACTTCCCTTTCTGTAGGGTAACCTCAAGGTAACAGGCTTTTGCACTCAACATGTAGGCATATTTGGATCCCAGATTATGCTATCATACTATTTTTTTTGGAGGGGGGATCATTCCTATAATGGGTGACCTTTTCTTTAACACACACATGGGGACAAGAAACATGACTTGGGCAAAAATAGAGAAGTATTGTGGATGGAGGAAGAGGTAGGCAATCTGTGGCCTGTGGATTCATTCATTTTTTAAAACAAAGTTGGCTAAAATTCTGCCCCCCAGGTGAGACAAGGGACCAGTTTTCCATGTTTTGAGTAGACCCTAGCAATCCACAGATCTTTACTTTTACATGAACAAGTAAAAAATAACTTTGGGGCCACTATTTATCCACTATTTATCCATTTAATTTCCTTTTATTTCTGTACCACCTTATTAATGTGATACAGTATCTTGGGTGGTGAACAATCTAAGAGCTGGACAAAATAAACAGACAGTAAATACAACAATAAGATAAACATACCAGATGCATAAACAGACACACAAATGCATGAACTAGAAAGCACATGGGAGCTTCTCTGCTGCCTCGCCATTTTAATTTTTTTTTAAAAATGGTTCGGTTAAGTAAGATCAGCCCTTCATGTTCCTTGTGTGGATGTGTGCATCCTCCCCAAAGAGCTGGAGATTGTCCACACCTTCCCCAAGGTCGGTTCACAATTAGCATGGTCTAGGGGCAGGACAACAATTAATGTGTTTCTTATACTTCTGATTGAGCATGTTGGGGATGTAGAAATTCTATGTTTTCCAAATGTAGTTTAAGTTGCAGGGAGGACCATTTGGGGGAAGTAAGCCAGAGGGGTTTGGGAACAGGAGATGAATGCAGCCATATTGTTCAGGAGAGTGAGGAAAGATGCTGGAGACAGGTTGAAAGAGGGATGGGTTTTCTTTCGGATTTAAAGTGCCCAAATCCTTCGGGACAGTCCCAAGTTTTGGGCATCTTATTTACATTTTTTCTATGCATTGCTCTGCTTATCTATAATAATGACCTCATTGTAATCCTGTCCCATTGCTGTGCTGACTGTACAGTATAACATGTTGTCCCAGGCTGATACATGTTGTTTGTTCTACCTTTGGATGGATTGGCGTTTTACAGAAATCACCACCCAACCACTCCACCCATTGGTGTAGGTTTTGGAGGGGGGATGTATAATACAATTTCCAGATAATTCTGTGTTTTGTGACAGTAATACTGATGGAACCCACTCAAGTAGCTGTTGCTACTTAACTGCTTGTTCTTTCCTCTTTTAAAACAGTCGTGAGAAAGGCGGAAAGCATGTCTCAAAGCGATTGTGGATTAAAAGTGTTAAAGAGGAGGACATCAATTCTTCATATACCTGTGTTTTCTCTTTCAATGGGCAGAAACCTGCATATCATGTCTCTATACTTCAAAAAGGTACTCTATAGTTTAATCTAATGTCTGACAAGCCAATGCAGGGGTAGTTTGTCCAATATCTGGCAAGGGAATCATCTTCCCCACTACAATCAAATGAACCTCCTTAGAATTTTAGAATATTTGATATTTAAAATGCAGTGTACTGCAGTGTTGTCTCGTAGTAGTAAGGGTGAGCAAAGTACCATCTTATAACTCCCATCAACTCTCATCAATAGCCACCTCTGGGTAGTGTGGGCGGCATATAAATTGAATAAATAAATAAAAAATAAAATAAATTGCCACAACTTTAGGTTTTAAAGCCACATTGATTTGGGGATAATGGTCTGCATTGACACCATGAGGTGTGCCTTAGGAGTCCTGTACTCCTCTTTCACATTGTCTTGGGAAACACTGGTCTTGGGAACCTTTGGTTGCCTGCTCGAGTCAAATAATGGCATCTAAGTGAACAAGATGGAGGAGATGAACTTCCTTGAAGTTAAATGGTTGGGAAGTTTGAGAGCAAGCAAAATATAGCTTTGTTGCATAGGGATCCCATTTATAGACAAAGACCTCTAAATCCAATTATTGGTTCCTATTAGAGTACATCCGTTGAATCCACTTATAGAAGTGTTGAATTAATAAGTTCCATGGATTCAGTGGTCATATTGTGTCTGAGATTAATAATATAATTTAGGTCCAAACCTTTATTATCATCTTTTATTGTGTCTAAAATTGTAAAGGGAAGACACTCGACTATAGAATATTTTGGCTGTATCAGTATAGCTTCATGAACATTTTTACTGAAGGAATGTCTTGGCCATCTTGGGATGATTCTGTATGTCCAAGCCATAATGTTTTCCTTTCCTTCTTTCCCTGTCATCCAGAGACCAATCCAGATCTTCCTGTTCATACCTTTACTACCGGAATTCTCATGGCTATCCTATTTTCCTTTGCTGCAGTGTTTTCAGTGATTCTGTGTGCAGCATTCAAAGTGGACCTTGTGTTACTGTACAGAGATATAACAGGAAAAGATGAAACACTGGGAGGTAAAGCATAATGAGATTCATCTTATGAAGGGGAGGGTAATGATACACTAACTCAAATTATTTTGCAAAAACAAATACCCTTTCTGCATCTTGCAGATGCCTGCTGTGCAGGTAGAGGGGCTTGCCATGTTGGCTGAAATTTTTCCTGACTACACCTGTTCCTTCCATTCAGAAGGAGAGGATCTTCCAGTTGATTAGATAGTAAGGACTAAGCAATTAATTTTAGGAAATGGTGGATATTAAAAATTTTCCATGGGTTTGGTTTGGGCAATTATATATCCCCATGCCAGTCCTACCATCAGCCAGAGTCAAGGCTTATTATTTAGGTTACTGAGTTAAATTACTCATTTGAATAAGTAAGATCCTAAAGCTCTGGGAAGAAGAAAAGCCAGCCCTCTGGAGGCTGCTGGGTAGCAATGGCAAAGTTTTGCACAATCAAAATAATGTGTGTTGTGTTGCAGCTACTGTGACGTTTCCAGACATCCACAAAAGAAGTTGCCCCATCACCAGCATGAAGATACAGTATCTTTAGTGGGGAGCCCAATCAGGTTCTGTACTTAGTAGGGCTGTAATGAGGGCAGAAAAACTGGGGCTTTGCCCCAGGGCCCCCAAATTTAAAGGGCATCAAAATCTAGAGACAAATGTGCTGGCGAGTGTCAGGAAAATAAATAGTAAGATTTATCAGTACCATTCACTGCCCACGATTCCTTGAAAGCATAAACTTTCTCTTGATTTTGGATGGACACAACATTTTCCTTCTTTTACCTGAGGGTGAAATATATGTCCGTACCTCAGAGTGCATTAAATAGGAGACAGTGCTGTTTACCTCTGGTGTCTAAATTGCTTGCTATGACCCTAGTTCACAGAACTGGCAGCAGAAAGGAACATTTTTCTTGTTCTTCATCTTAACTGGCTGGATGCTGTCCAGGCAATTCTGACTAATGACGATTCTTTCCAGGGTTTTCTATGTCGAGAACATTTTTCTTGTTCTTCATCTTAACTGACTGGATGCTCTCCAGGCAATTCTGACTTACGGCGATTCTTTCCAGGGTTTTTTATATCGAGAGTACTCAGACTCAGAAGTGGGTTACCATTCCCTTCTGGGGATGCCCTGACACTGTGCAGCTTGCCCCAGGCCACACAGGCTGGCTCTTTTGGAATGAAGTGGCTTACGATTCCCTTCTTCTGGGGATGCCCCGACACTGTACAGCTTGCCCCAGGACACACAGGCTTGCTCTTTGGGAATACACGGTGGAGAATTGAGCTCCCAACCTCTGGCTCGTTTTGTTTTGGCTAGCTTAGCCTGGGGCCTCTGAAAATCTTTTCTCCTAGTGGCTGAGCGAGGATTAAAAAGAAGTAAAACCTACTTCAAAAGTAAGAGCACAGGTTTGGTAGTGAGAGGAGAATGATTAGCCATACCAGGGAAATTATCTGAGATTGTGTGTGTTTATTTTTCAGATGGAAAAATATATGACGCTTTTGTGTCTTACCTGAAAGAATCTATGCCTGTGTGTGATGAGAGAAAATTTGCATTGGAAACCTTACCCAAAACATTAGAGGAGTATTTTGGATACAAGCTGTGCATCTTTGAACGGGATATCTTGTCTGGAGGAGGGAGGGTTTTGTGTGGGGTTTTTTTTTTTTTTGGTCAAAATACAAGACTTCTTGTCCAAAGAGAAGTTTTCTCACCTGATAAGGTCTTCTCAGGGATCAATGTTTACTCTTTATTCCCCAGATTTTACCAAAATTAGATATGTTATATGTGAAGTCGCTAGGCAAGGTGTGTTTGCGCAGTTAAAAGCAATGGTATTTTCTCTGAATGAATTTTATGTGAATGAAATGATCAGCTGGAACATTATACTTGAAGGTCTGGGGGGAAAAACAATAAAAAGTTTACTTCCAGTTGTCAAAAGTACTTATACCTCCATGGTCCTGAAGCATAACAAACAACAGCTAATAGCATGTCCAGTCCCTAGACCTCTCCTCCTTGCATGCTGTGGTTGCAGTCCCTTGAAGCAGTTAGTGAAATCAAATGCATTAAAAAGCAAATAAGGGATTTGAAGTCCCCAAAAGGAACTTTTCTAACTTACGGTGATGAAAACTCAAGAAATTTCTGATACCTCTCTGGGCTAGCTATATTGACATGAGGGAGAAGCTTACTCATTTGTTGCTTTCTTCAAAAAATGTGGGCTGCTGAAGAGGTGCTGCTGCTGCTGAATTACTCTGAGCAGAACAAGAATATGTGACTGAAATAGGATGTTTTTTCTACTCAGATGGCCACACTTTCAAGAGAAAGCCACTTACTTTCTAGTAGTATTGCAGATAATATCTTGCAAACCTTCCTTCCTTTAGAGAAATAACTTTTTATCTGAATTTCTGAGTTACTCAGCCAGCTGTAATCACTTATTGCCTACTTTTTAAATGCTACTTAGAAACCAAAGGTTGCCCATGATTTTAATACAGACAATATACTAATAATATACTTTAACTATTACTACTACTACGTAATTTTCTCCCTGAATTATTTCAGCTAACCCATGCTTTTTCTGTTTACAGCTGTTGTTGATGATGTGCAATCATTTATTGACAGAAGTCGAAGATTGATCATTGTACTGAGCAAAAACTACATCTCTGACAAAGTCATGTTTGAACTTGAAGTGGGACTCCATAAAGCTTTAGTTGAAAGAAAAATTAAAGTAATATTAATAGAGTACACACCTATAAAGAATTTTGAGTTCTTGCCTGAGTCTCTGGAACTGCTTTCATCCAGCCAAGTGTTGAAATGGAAAGAAGAGAAATCACTGCCTTTGAATTCCAGGTTTTGGAAAAAGCTTCGTTGTATGATGCCAGCTAAGCCCTGCTTTAGAAACAAACCAGCTGTTCCTAGACTGGGGCATTCCACAACGGAATGTCAGCAGTCAGAGCATTCTACACTGTGCTCTGGGTTTCCATGAGGAGGATGTCATACCAGTTTCCTTTGAGCAAAGTGGATATCTTTTTGTCAGAAATTCTTGTGATGGCTGGAAGAACATCGCAAAGGATTCAGATGCTGTACATCCAAGCAGATGGTTGCCTTCACGCTCAATGAAGAATATATTATCTCCATTTTATGGACAGATTTCACCCTGGTGTGTGTGCGTGTGACTGACTGCACATAATTGTGTTGATGTGCTATCTTTAATTTCAGAAATGTCTGCTAGTAGGAAATAAACTTCCACAGGACTAAAATGTAACAGCAAATTAAAAACTACTTCTAGTAGGATTTAAGCCCTCACCAAATGAGAGTGATTCCATTTCTAGAAGCAGTGCTCCCTCTTTTGGAAAAAAATGTATGACTGTGATTTAAAGGCAGAAACATGACTATTTGCAGAATGATCACTGACATGAAAACAACAGCTTTCTTTGTGTGACTAAATTTTGAAAAGTGCATCGTATATACATTATCTCATTGCTGGTGAGAAAACATAAGAGCACGAAAGACATGTTTACATGGCCATATTTTTTATCTCAAAGGCTCCTTGAAGAAATAGTATTTATTTTGTGGACTCCTTCTTGTTTACAATTATTCATGAAACTTACATTTGTTTAGAAAGTTAAATAAAATATCTAATTATTATAGCACCATTATGCTTTATTGCAACAGTCCCTTCATGTATGTCCTAGTATGTCCAGTAGGTAGTGTCAGTAACTAAACTGTCCATAGCTGTTATGCAGTGTTCCACCTGTCTACAGGTTAATTCTAGAGCCAACTGAAATGTCATTCGAGATGATGTTAGAAGAGAAAGGGATGTGAAAAGAGTTATGTAAACTTGGCCTTGTGTTGTTGTGCATAGCATAGGAAGTAGCCATCTGAGTAATCAACCACAATCTGAAGGGTAGAGATGTTCGGTTTGGACCAGAGTGTTTTTGTTTTGTTTTGTTTTGTTTTTTTGAGATATGGTTAAAGTGATTAAATATCAACCAAGGACACAAATTTTAAAGTCTCTTCAGCTGGATTTAAACTAAACAGCTGGATTTCCCTCTATGCTAGATACTGTAAGTAGCACATAGACCAGACTGGGGTGCCTCTGCCCCACAGACTGGATTCAGCCTGCCAGTGGTTCCCACCTGGCCTGTGAGTTTCTTCTTTCTCCCCATGTGCTGTGCAGGAAAGCCTCACTTTTTTCTCTGCAAGCTAGAGATAAGAGTCAGGATTTCTCTGCTTATCACTGAAGAAATACAGCTTTTCTGCAGTAAGCACAAGGAAACTTCACTTGTATCTGTGAAATAAGGGCTTTAAAGACATTCAGCCTTTAAATATGATTTAAAGAAGCTATGGAGAGAATGTGGTATTTCAGCCAGTCCTGCAAAGAGGAAGTATGGAAATCAGAGGCATTCTGTGCTTACTGGGGACATGTCAAATTGGTGGAAAGCACAGCTTGCCCGACCAACTTTGTTTTGGCTCTACTGCTTTCTTCTTGCCCACTTCCCATGCACGCAGCCCTCCTCCCCCCTTTTCAAAAACTGTCAAATTGGTGGAAAGCACAGCTTGCCCAACCAGCTTTGTTTTGGAATTTTATCAACTGGATTTGGGGAAGAGTGAAGACTTCGTTGTCCCTTTTATGGTAATGGCATCTGCCTAAACAAACATTATGCATGATCCAAAATAATGCATAATATACAGTATACAGTATACATTACACACATGCTGCAGGTTTTATGGAGATGGCAACAGCCTACAGTTATATGTGACTGGGCTGTATCTAAAATGGTACCCATATATGGATGGAAGTAGTCCTCTTTTAGGAAATCCCTTGGTCTTTATTATAGATGGGCATGAACCCCTGGTTCAGGGGTTCATTTATCAACTAAACAGCTGTTTGGCATAGCAGAAACCTGCCTCCCCCAGCAGGCACCCACTTAGAGGAAGTGCCCGTAGGAAGTGGGGGAGGGAAGCTAGGGTGCTCTCTTCTAGGGGGTGCCCACTGGAGGAGTGCCCCCCTCAGAAACACCACCACCTGTTCAGCCAATAAACAAACTGGTGAACCAGCAGTTGGTGCCTATCTCTAGCCGTCATTGACGGAAGAGGACTGGTAAATTTCACTAACGTACTTGCCTGCCCTTAGCACTTCTGGCATTGTGCCAGAGGTTCCCCTACCCCCACCAAAGCAAATTTTCAGGGAGCTCCAGAAAGCGGAGGATTTGCTGAAAATGTTTTTCTCTATTTCCTTAGTGGAGGCCTCCACATATTCATTTGAAAAGCTCTTCTGTGAACACAACAGTGACACTGGGTGCAGTGCACACAGACATTAGAATGAGGATCAAGGGGCTCTCTCAAGACTTCGAGATTCTTTTAAGTACTTGAGGGTTTTTTTTAAGTAAGCTTACTGGGTTTTTTGCATCTCATATGCATCTTTTTGTGGAAAACCAACTACTGAAAGATGGCAGCTCATGTGTGGGCTGAGATTGTGATACGGTTCTTTTATCAAAGCTATTTTTCGAAGACCAACACAGGGACAATCATAACAGTCCAAAGTGGGTCTGGTTCTTCCTCATATTAAATAAGCACAAGGATATATTGGGTCATAAAAGTACAAGCACAGCCTAAATCCCAGTGGGCTCTCCAGGCCATGATCACCGAAGCCCACAAACTGATGCCATCTATTTCCTGTCCATAGTGTAGGGCTGGCCCTGTTATGAGGCATAGTGCGGTAATGGTGTTGATGGGAGATACTGAGGGGCAGCTTGTGATTCCTTTTTCATTCCCTGACCATCTTGGCAGGCCTGAGCAGTGTGTGCCACAAAACCTGTCCTGGACTCCCCTACAAAGCCTGCTGTCCCAAGAGGAGGAGGAGGATGATGATGATGATGATGATGATGATGATGATGATGATGATGATGATGATGATGATGAAGAAGACATTGTCTCATCAGGATGCTAAAGTCCTATCCAGATATCAGTTCAACTGGTTTCTATATATGGGATGAAGGAATGGGGGTACAGTATTGTCCTTTGGCTCAATCAGCAGCAGTGTCGTGGGCCAGTCCTGCCCTCAGTATTTGATATTTAGAGGTATACTGTGTTTGCAGGTGGAGGGTCAATTTTAAGAGAACTTTGAAAAGTTACATTCTGGGTTGTATGACTACTTGTGTAAGGGGAGAGGGGAATGCCATGAGCTGGAGACTCAACATTTATCCACACTCTGACAATCAATTATTGTAAGCATTTGTCATCATCAGTCATAGTTGCTGTTTAAAAAGATGTAATCTGGTTGTGTGAGATGTTTAAGCAATACACGGCCACCCCCTTCCAATGACTTTCCATGAGCAATCTGGGGCTTGAACCCAGGTCTCCTGAGTCAGAGTCCAACACAATTTGCTATACCACAACAATCATGTGCCGTCAAGTGAGTTCTGACTTTTTTTGTGACCCTTTTCAAGGTTTTCCAGGTAGAGAATACACAAAGGTGGTTTCCCATTCCCTTCTTTTGGGGGGTGCCCTGAGACCGTGCAGGTGGCCCAAGACCACACAGGAGGCACAACGTGGAATTGAACTCACAACCTCTGGCACAGCAGCAGATATCTAAACTGTCCAGCCACACTAGTTGTCTTTTATTTTCCCCAGGCTAAGCTACTAGGAGGATTGTTTGAGAAGGGAAACCCTTTCCCTGCTGGCTCAGATTATGTAGGTATGAACTGACTCATATAGGTGACATGCACCTTTCTATTTCTAATTCCTATGCATCTTTAAACTGCATAGGAATTTCATCAATCAGTGTGAGAGAGCAGAAGAGTATGGGAGAACTATTAGGATCAGATAAGGTCTGGAAAAGGATTTACATTCTTTCCTTCCCTGCTATGGCTCTGAGGGGATTATGTGGTTGAGCTGGTATTTATATAGAGATAATGCTTTCATTACATATTGGTGGTTGGCTGGATAGCACAGTGGTTTAGATTTCTGGCTGTAGAGTCAGAAGTTGGGAGTTTGAGCATAAATCCAGCCTGTGTGACTTTGGACAAGTTGCACATTACCAGAGCACCTTTAGAAAAAGGGAATGGGAAATCACTTCCGGATACTCTCTACCTTTAGAGAGTCAGAATTGACTTGATGCCCCATAATCATTATTATAAATGCGTTCTTTGACATCTGTTGATATAGCTTACATGCCATGCTATCACACTTCCGTTGTGCGTTTGGTTTGTGTCTGAGCTACATTTTCTGAGTTATTTGCATTTGAGTTATATCTCCTCTTCAGAACTGAAAAGCATGCTTTTTCAGGCTGTGTGCGCACACATGGGGCAGATACAAGGTCTTTCCTCGGTCTTAGTGACAAGGCTTGTGTTGTGTTCACTGTGTGCCATGAAATAACAGTGCCTCTCAGCATATGTTTTATGTGCGCATATGTGATGACATCAGTTGTCATGCATTCCTTCGTTGGGATGTTGGACTTCCTTCGAGGCAGAAACAACTCTTTGGGTCTCTCAGAGTGGGGCAGAAGCAGCTGAAACTCCCTCACTCAGCCCCAGAAGGAGGTGCCAGCTTCTGTTGATATGAAAAAGTGAAGACTTCCTCAAGGGATGTGTGTAACTCACTCTGTCCTTTAATGGTGGCAGAGGCAGGATCTCATGGCCTTGCTTCTATTAGCAGGGAATTAGAGAAAGCTGCAGTCAGACCAGCCACTGCTCATCATCAGCCTTCTATCTATCCAACCATTCATCTGCAACCACCTGTGGTTCTCTGACACAGTTCTGATATATGGGTTAGTAACTGACGAAACAACAGGATGTGGAAGGTAGGAGTGAACGGAAATTCTCACAGTGGTGGGAAGCAAACGGAAGCTGCGAAAGATCTTGAGTGGCAAGTTTGTAGCATTGAACTTCATACATGATCTTAAAGCAGCACTATGAAGAGGCTGAATTTGCAGATAACACCCAATTATTCAACACGGTGAACACTGAAGTGACTTCGTGATAGGGCCAAAGTAATGTGAATGTAAGTTGAACAATGTAAGTTGTTCAGTATAATTTGCTTTCTGTCAACCCTCCTGCCATAAATAACAGCTAAGCAAAGCTACATTTCCCTGCATCAGGAATAGGAGAAGGTAGGTTGCCTTCCAGCTCTACAATTCTAAATGGAGACTGGAACAAATGGGGGTAGTGATCAGGGGGAAAAAAGGTCCTGAAGACCATAGTGGATAGATCATTTTAATCCTTACCTTTATGTACAGTAGCTGAGATTATTAAATAAAGCAGTCAGTGCCAAATGAACTATATAAATCAATACCATGACTGGATTTAGGATGCGGTGTGCAATTCTGGCTTTCCTATTTTGGGAAAGATACTGAACTGGAAAAGTAGAAAAGAGCAACTTGGATGAATAAGTGGGCTGAAACACACTCTCAATAAAAAGCAGCTAAAGCCCTGCAAGGATGTTCCACCTTTCAAACAATTATAATTACATGGGAAGATCAAACTTGGCAACACACTTAACACACACACTTAACACACTAATGGGCAAATTAGAGAAAAATTAGAATGGGGGTTGATTGTTATAGGACTTGTATTACCAACTGCTGAACATGGGAAAGGGAAGGAAAGATTTCCTACTCAAATACTTAGGATGTTCCACCTTTCAAACAGTTATAATTACATGGGAAGATCAAACTTGGCAACACACTTAACACACTAATGGGCAAATTCTTGATGTGCATATATGATTGGTCATTGTGAGGTGAATAAAACCATCTTTTGCAGAGCAGGGGAGTGCTGATGCGATGAGAAAAATTAGAATGGAGGTTGATTGTTATAGGACTTGTACAGTATTACCAATTGCTGAACATGGGAATGGGAAGGAGAGATTTCCTACTCAAATACTCTTGAAAACATTTCAAAAACAACAATGTCAACAACAGAAACAACAGCAATAAAATAATAACAGTAAGTGCTACCTTTTATTCAAAAGATGTGCCTTTTCCTTCCCCCCACTATGATGCAAATACTTTCCGGATATGAGTACAAAAAAGGAAGAGATGATGACACTGAGCACCATCTCAAGAACTAACCACAGCTCTTATTACATCTGGTGGGATGAAGAGGTAAGATTTTGTTTAGACAATTGCCTCTTTTCGGACCATATATTAAACTCCACAGATTATTTAAACAAATGTTTCTCATTTTGTGTATAACCCGAAGAGATTTGTATTTATTGATTCCTCCACACCCATTTCTCAGTTTGTCACAACTGATTCTCATAGAATCATAGAATCATGAAGTTGGAAGGAGCCTATAAGGCTATCAAGTCCAACCTCCTGCTCAATGCAGGAATACAGATCAAAGGATATCTGCCAGGTGGTTGTCTATGTTTCTTTTGAATGCCTCTAGCGTTGGAGCACCCACCATCTCTTGAAGTAATTATACAGTATTTCACATACAGGGAAACCAAGGCTGTCTGTGAAATTTTACTGCTTACATCAATGGCATCTGAAGAAATCGTTATGCGTCTTCCGCTCCTGTGTCCTGACAATAGAATTGTTCCATCACAGATTTCCATTTCTTGTTCAAATTAACCCTTTCCTTTAAGTACTGTACTGTATTTAGGTGCTGTATTGGAAATACCATTCAATCTACTATAGGTATTTTCATCATACCATTGGGAACCTACCAGGTCAAGTTTATGAATGTCTACTCAAAAGTAAAACCCATTCTGCTCAACTGAGCTTACTTCTGAGTCAAGTAGGTATAAGAGTCTACACTTTATTATTTGGAAACATGCATCATTAAACCCAGCAGGACTCAGTTCTGAGTGGGTATGTGTGGAACGGCACAAGAAAAATACAGTCCTGTGTATAGGTCCTATTGATCCCACTGGGAATTACTTCTTAATCATTGTGTAGGATTGTACTATGAAATAACTGAGATGATTTCTGAGATACAGTTCTTGGCTGAGTGAATTGCTTAAAATTTATATCACACTCTTCAACATTCTTGAAGGATAAATAAGGAGCCTGCTGTGTCCGCTAATGAAGTATTTCATTTTAATGTAGAACAGTGTATTAGTAATCTTAGGGAGTTTCCAGATGAAGGCTCATCACACTACCAGTTAGAAGACAGATTGCCTTCTGTCTTTTTGTTCTTAATAGGTTTTACCACAGTAAGAATCCAGTCAGAAGCAGGAGTGGAAACTGAAGGACTGTTATGAGTGGAAGATAACATCATGTAAAACCCCCGTAAAATTCAGTGAATGAGGCATAGCAACGGCATAATAAAAAACCTTGTTTGCTATTCTCAACATTCTTAGAACACTTCACATTGATTTTTTCAGTGTGTTTCCACACAGTTGTGCCATTACCCTATGCCATGGTTGGGCAAAACAAATTGGTGCTCCCAGCTCCATTTGTGGGTCTCATGGAGCCTGGAATTAGCCATATTTGTGCATAACTGAAAAAAGAGAGAGTAAAACCCAGTTTCAATGGTTTTTAAAATTTCAGTGTAGAATAGGGTGTCTTGGGAACACAAATCCCCAACGTAAAATGCTTCTGGGGGGCCTTGAGCCGTCTCCTCTGCCTTGGAAAGGGGAAGGAAGCCCAGACACCAAAGCTGTGGGAAATAGAAAAAGAGGGAAAGGGGTGGCCACCACTTGGAGAAGGGAGGGAAGGGGAGAAAGAGAAGGTGGGAAAAGCTGACAAGGAGGGGAAGGAGAAGGCAAAGCCCTCTGAGTGGGATGGTGGAGAGGAGAGGAAAAAAGGCAGGAGATTTGGAACAGGAGGAGGTGGGAAAGGAAGTGAAGAGTTCTAAAAAGAGAAGTGGGTAGGGAGGAGAGAGTGGTAGAAGTAAGAGCAGTTGAAGGACGGAAGGAGAAAAAATATTACCTGATGGATGGGAGTGAGTTTGGAGGGAGAACCCCTGGACCCCTAAATGGGAAAGACTGATGATCCCTAGAGAAGAAGCAGAAAGGTATGGGAATTCCCGCCCACCTAAAAGCCCTTCTATTGGTGTGTGTGTGTGTGGGGATGGACAAGAAAGTACAGAGTGGCAGAGAAAGTTCAGGGAAGAAAAAACACAGATAGAGAGGGAAAGATGGGAAGAGGCAACATGGAAGGCTCAGCTTTTGGGCAAGAGACAGTGTCCACCGAGAAACTACCCAGGGAGAGAGAAAGATGGGGGAGATGACACATTCTCCTTGTTGCAGTTGCTGTTACCGGGTGAACCCTATGAAATACTCGAGGTCAAGGGTGAAAACCTGAGAGACTTGGGGACATTTGAAACTATGCAGTTCCAAGCTTTGAACCCCTTCCTCTCTTTGTTGGACGATATAAATGGTTCTTTAGACAAATTTTAAGCAAAAGTTGACTGTGTGAAGCATGAAGTGGTGTCAGCTGTGTCTGTTGGTGGGGAAGCATTAGGGGCGCTTGAAGGGCTTGCACTTCTAACCCTCCTATATCCCTCCTCATTTCTCTCATATTTTTTTTAAAAAATATTATTGATAGCTGGGAGCGGAGAGCAAGAAAGGCAAAATAGCTGGAAGCACCTCCAGTAACCCTTACAAGAGCAGGGTACAATTCCCAAATTCCATGACATAGTATCCATATTACATATGGGGGCCTATAACTAAGTTTAGTTGATTACTGTGTCCAGCAAATGAATTGAATTCCAAATCCTGCAATCTCCACATTCTACTCAAAATGTCTGCATGGCGCACTATTGTCTCCACCATTATCCTGCAAGTTGAGACAATGCATTTGATTGCAACTCCCATCATTTCCAGCTAGCATGCGAATAGCCCTGACAGCTGAGAATGCTTGAAGCTGTAGTCTAAGACAGCTGGCTCGGGAAATGCTGGTTTACGCCAACCGTTAATAGCTCTTTAAGGTTCCAGAAAGGGGCCTTTCCCAGCCCCACCCAGAAACACCACAGTTGAACCTGGACCCGCTTTCTTTATGAAGCAGCATTTTCTCTGTTACAGAGCCATTGTCCTTCCTTTGTAGGACTTGTTCTATGGCAGTGGCTTTGCAGGCTCTGCTCTTGGGAACTCCAGGATGGCTCAGAGAGGTTTTAGGTTGGATGTGCTTCCTTGGAAGACAGATTTCTCACCAGCATTCTGCTGTGAAAAGAATCTACAAGAGAACTGAAAATTGGAGTAATTGCAGGCCTTGGGCTGAGAGTGTGGAAGGCATGTGCAGTATCTCTCAACAGGTGGGCAGATAGGCAGGTCCATCAGTGGAGGAAACATTTGGGAGCCAAAACCCAGAAATTCTGCCAGATGAGAATCCGAGCTGGCATTATCGGCAGACTTATAAAGGATCTCATTCCCAAGTGTTCCACTGAGCTCATTTTTTTTTTGAAAGACATTTCCATCTAACAATTGTCTGGGATGAGATATTTCGAAAAGCAGTTGGCTTTTTTCTTTTTTCTCTATCACAGTAACCAAACAATAATCCAGAGTGAAAATACAAGCGGCTACTTCTGCCATGAAACCTCATGAACAAAAGAAAATTCACCGCTGAGGGAAGCAATGAAGTTGTCTTGCTGGATCGTCCTGTTGTTAATGAGAGGATCAGAAGTTATAGATTGTAGTGTTACAGGTAGGACACATCGTGTTATACTGCTCCTCAGTCTGGATGTTGAGGAGTCAAAAAGGGGGGTCCGTCTTTCTCCAGACTCCTAAATTTATTAATTATTTTCAAATAGAGGCAAACATCTTGAGTTTAGTGGTGCCTGCTATGTACAGAATTTATGCACATTTGTTTTTTTGACCCCTCCATGGAAAAAGTCATGTGGACCCTCTTGCTTCTCAGGATGTTTCACATGTCCTTTATCAGAGATGGTACCATGTTTTCAACTACAGTAGTTGTGACACAGTGTACAGTTCCTCTGAAATCGCGCCACCTAAAAATTTAAATTGCGTGCACTGTTTTTATTTCTTTTGTTTTCCAGAATGTCTGCACAAGCACACTGACATGAGGTACAGGGCTATTAGTGGCCAGAAATTTGTTGTATCATGTGACTTACCATCTGAAGCCCCTGCCTCCATCTTCAATTATTCCCATCTCTATGAAGACCAAATGCAGTGGTTTTGGAAATCAAGTGATGATGGGGAAATTAAAATGCTTCGGAGGAATGCAACCACTAATCCTGTGTTTCAAGGGAATGCCATCTGGTTTGATCCAATAACAGTTCAACATTCTGGAACATATATCTGCACAAATGGGTTTGTTAAATCCCCTTCACCCTTTCTACACCAATCCTTGGAGAAATTAAAATGCTTCTGAGGAGTGCAACCGCTAATCCTGTGTTTCAGGGGAATGCCATCTGGTTTGATCCAATAACAGTTCAACATTCTGGAGCATATATCTGCACAAATGGGTTTGTTAAATCCCCTTCAGCCCCTTTTCTACACCAATCCTTCCTTGTGATGGAATAAGGCAGCTGTCTCAAGCGACCACTCTCAAGTGCCATCAAAGGGCAGCAAATTAGTATTACTTTATTATCACTGTATGCTGGCTATGAGGCATGAGAACAATTGTGTGTAGATTTTTCTGCCTCATGTATCCAAATACCTTGGCTGAATTTGGTATTGTGCACTTAGACATAAGAGGTGGTGCTGGAGGGGTGTCCTCAGCTCCAAAAAGTTTGGGCCCATGAGGTATGTTGTTGGGTTTCCCCCCTTTTTTCCCCAAACATTAACCAGCCAAAATTAAACCTTATCTATATCAGTGGAAGTGATTTAAACACATGCCTGTCTCTGCCATTGAAATGAATGGAAATTCACTTAATTGAATTTACACTGCAGCATGTCCCTTTGAAAAAATAAATGGCATAGACCTTGGAAAAGTTATCCGTTAGGACAACTCTCAAAATTCCCCAGATAGCATGAGCACATGGGCGCAGCCATCTGGCAAGGGTATTCTGGATATGTTTCCAGATTGCTACTAGTAATACCTTGTTGTTGTTTTTAATTATATGGCCAATCATCAGTTCTTCCAAATTGCACCATCACATGTATGAAAGGAGAGGGATTTGTGTTGGGAAGACATGTTTGCTCGCTCAAGGCTATTCCAGTCCCACCAACTACCCTGTTCACCTGTATCTCTCTGCCTCTCCTATCTGACAGCATTCCCAGGGCTTCTCAGCTTCTGTGATCATCTTTGCTGGGAGGGCAGGCAGCTACACAGTAGAGGAGGAGCAGCACTTGAGCCCCATTTCAGGAATGGAATGTCACTCAGGAGAATCATGAAATGTGTTAGTCCACCATGGCTAACATGTCTGTTCTAACAGATTAGTGAAGTGTTTCAATTTTCTCACAATATTAATTTTTTCTTTGCCTTCAGAGAGTCTAGGCTTCTATGGGTGATTTCACCTGCCCCCCTTTTTCTGTGTCCCACAGGGAAAAACCACCAAGATCTGTCAATATTTTGATAGCCGTCCAAACAGAGGAGACAGCAAACTGCTCAGGGAAGAGTCCTAGTCACAGGTACCTGTTGGTCAAGCAAGGAGCATCTATTACTTGCCCAGGAAAACACTGTTTCAGGAATTTTCCACACTCATCAGTTAAATGGTATCAGGTAGGAGTTCCTGCTGGTCACTTTTTCACCAATATAGAACCGTTCAAAATATTTGCACGTGGTGTCAGCTAAATTGTGGCTGGGGGGAAAAAAACCATGGGGGGAACATGGTCGAGCACCTTTCTGCTAATTTCTCACTCCAGTCATCCACCCCACTGCCAGATATATCAAGGTGGGGGAAAATGGGTTATGTCAAAAGTTTTGCTGATGTGCAGAATGGCTAGTCAGCCGTTTGCGTATCCAGCCCTGACTTTAAAAGGTGTTGCTGGGGGCTGGGGACAAAGAAGGAAGGGTGAAAATGCTCTTAAAGTATCAATTGCTATGGTGAACGTTTGGACTGATCTTTTCTGACATTGTGAGAGCAGCACATAAAGAACTATAAGACTATAGTTGCCCCACTTGGGCAATAGGCACCCCTGATGTGGGCCCCTGACTATTTAATTGGTTCTGGCACTGCTATCAATGCTCCTGCTGCCACTACTGCCATTTTCACCCAATTATGTCAGTCTTGATAGAAAAACAAATCACATTTAGATACTCTGGGAAGTGGGAATCTTATTTTAGAGTAGGATCACAATCCCTGTTGCCTTTGAGAAGAGGAACTCTTCAGGCTTCTAGTTTTCTCATGTAAGTGCATTTTTCACATTGTACCAGAGCACAATGGCCTTGGTGAGTAGGATGGCCCAGGAACGGGTCCAGGTCCCCCAATAATGAACCATGACACCCCAGATTTGTCCCTGCCTGATGTGTTTGGAAACCTCTGCCTCCTTTAACTTCCTTAGACAAGAGTTTCATACTAAGGAAAAAAGGGGTGCTGCAAGTTCTTGGTAAGTCATTTTAGAAATTAGGAATTAAAAGCAAAGGTAATTGCAAAGAAAGAGGAATGGACCATGTCACTAGATTTAGCCCTAATCAGTTGCCAACAAGTGTTTCACAATTTAATGTGATGAATTGTGGGTTTTCTTCTCCCCTCTTTTTTACTTCCTCTTTCAGAATGGGAAAAAAATAAAACTTCAAAAGGTCAAGAGACCGAGCCTGCAGCTTCAGGATGATAAAATAATATTGCATTCTGTCTATGATAGAGATCGTGGCATTTATATCTGTGATTATCTGCTGACTGACAATAATACCCCGTGGAAAATGCGAACAGTAGTAAACGTAACCATCATATGTAAGTTACTGTACATCATGCAGCATAATAAATGTTCAGACATAGTGGCTGAATTCTCATTGCCTTGCATAGTAAGTCACAACTAGAGCAGGCCCATTGATTCAGTGACACAGCTCCTCCAGAAGTTGCCCTGGTTCAATGGGCCTGTAATCTAAATTGTGACTTACTATGCTAAGCAACTGGATGTTTTATATTTTGCAAACATTATATTACAAAATCTGGGGAAAAATTACCCTAGAAATTTCACACCTGTTAACTGGCTTGGACTCACTTTTACATCTCATCATTGTGCTTCCTCGCCACTTTCTTTCATTGTTTATGTTGTTATGTTTTATTTCCTATAAAGGATACACCACATGGCCTTTCTCACTTAAAAATTAAACCTGTTTAGGCAAACTTTGAATGGGCTATTTCCATTTGTCATTCTAGTTGGGAGTCGTTCAAACCTCTTTATTTGGAAGTTATCGTTTGCTTATAAACTGAACTACAGAGTTTGGAAAATGTGATCTGTTCACTGAAAAAAGAACAAACCTCCAGTGTGTATGAGTCCAAGTTTAGAAAATACACTTTTGGCCTACAACTCCCACAACGCCCTATCCAGCCCATCCAACAATCATGCTGCCTAGGGGACTCTAGGTCATGTAGTCTGAAATTTTTTTTTTCAAAGCTCTGCCTGAGCCTGGCTGTTGGTTCCATCTGCAGTTGAAGATGCTGTCCCCTTACTAGCTGAAAGATTCACCTGTCAATTAAGTCAGTGTTTGCTCATAAGTGGCACCCTCTTGTTCCCTGCCTCAGCCAGGAAAATGTTCCCGGCTACCCCATTCAGTAGCAATGGAGGCAATGCCACGAATCACAGACAGAATCATATTCCACCAGCAACCTCCCACTGCGATCTCAGTACAGCTTGCCCCATGATGATAGCATAACCCAGAATAAAAATTGATTCCTTGCAACTCAGAGGTTAGAAAATGGACTCTCTTCTACAGAATTCAGATGGACTGAGAGACCATCTTGCTGATCTTATACTGTATCTGCCTTCTGCAAAGGGCTAAAATGGGCTACTCATAATGTTGCTCACAAGTGACTGTTCAGTGCCCTTCCATTTCCTTATCAAATGAATGCCTTCTCGGTCTGATTTTTCCTGATTTTTTGCTTAAAGGTTTTCACATTAAACTTGGCCATAGAGTCTATGTGCAAAGAAGAGAGTCGATTAGAAAGGGCTCATAGCCTTCATACTAGTGACATTTTGCATTCTGTTTTATAGCAAAAGACACCGTGAATCCTCCAAAAATTTTGTATCCCAGCAATGTGACAACCCTTGAAGTAGACGTTGGTAAGTGGATTACATTTTAAGATTTGTTTTGTAATATAGAAGAATATATGTAGCTTAACAATAAAGGATATGTAAAAGAAGTCTTGCAATGAAGAGTTACAGTATTTCCCATGTTACATCTTATATGAAAGCATACCCATAGTTTGTCTGTCCCTTTCATGCTTTTTCTTCATTCATTTACACCTGTCAGGGTAAGTACACATTGGATTGCCGCCCAGAGTGGTAGAATATACCAGATGGGCGGGATATAAATCAAATAAATATAAATCAATATAATAAATAAATAAATATAAATCAAATAAATAAATAATTGCCTCCTTGAAAATAAATAAATAAAGATAATTCATATGACAGTCTGCTTTGGTGCCTATTGTTTGATGAGTACCAATTTTTGATGAGCTGTTTTATAAGCACAGTGGAAGCATCATAGACGATTTAAAATTGATTATAATTTACAGATTCATACATGTGCATAGAATCATAGAATCATAGAAAAATGAAGTTAGAAGGGGCCTACAAGGCCATCAAGTCTAACCCCCTGCTCAATGCAGGAATACTATCAAAGCTTACCTGCATGTCTTATTGTAAACATATACTGTATAATTCAAAATAACATCTAGCAATTCAAATTGCTGGTCAAAGCCTTTAAAGCGCCAGACTGCCAAAGCCCAGTACTATATTTCCTTGAGGTGGAATATTCACTCAGCTTCTGGGCCCTGTTGACTCCTGTCCCTACTCAGCACACCAGCAGATTATAACAAAAAATGTGTATTTTTTTAGGGTCAGGTTAACATGATGCGGATTGATTATTCCTTGCAATTAGCACTTTCCCCTTAGACAACAGGATTTTCCTTGTGCATCTCAACAATCAGCCATGCAATTCAAGCCCATGTTTACCTACCTTTTGATCGCCAATCCCCAAACAGAGCATGCTGGAATGGAAGACTTGGAGACGAGGAACAGTACAAAGAGTTGCCTTTCACTTCTTCGGGGTGTACTGAGCCTAAATACATGCTAAGTATGTTGTCTGGTTTGACCCCCAGGAGTATACTAACTCAGTAAGCTACACACCCAGCAAGTGGAGAACTAGAAATATACTGAACATGACCCAATAGAACCAAATCAATCCCTGGAAATACCAGAGGCAGCACTGATGGTTCATTGCCATCCTTTTGAGAATTCAGATCTTATATTAAAAGCTCACAGCCTTCTCTTTGGGCTTTCAGGGAAGGTCCTCATTGCCTTCTGACAGTGGCAGAGGTGCACATGGGGGAGTGATCAGAGAAGTTTTCCGTGAGGCTCCAGCAGATTATCAAACTCAGATGGCCCCACTAAACTATGAAGCTCAACTCCTTCTCACTATACATTAAAGAATCTTTTTATTCACAACCATTTTAGATGTTGCCCATGGACTGGCATTTTAAAACTTGCATTTTAAAACTGTTTGTGCCTAAAGTTATCATTTAAGCCTATTCAAATGATCTAAAAGACATCCACAATCGGCATCCTGTTTTTATATGCATTTTTTCGCCTTTTGTTTCTGTTCTCTCCACAGGACACCTGCTTGAAATGGAATGCAAAGCACAGTTTGGTTTTGAATTAAATGCTTCATCTTCCATACAATGGTACAGAGAAACCAGTAAAAGTAAGCTGCTGGTTCAACAAAAACGGTATGGGAAAGTATTCTATGTGAATGCAGCTAGACTGATTCAAAAATAAATTTAAAAAGTACCAGTATGTAAGATAGAAAAATTAAAAAACAAAAAGGGTGATTATCTAATTAGCCACTTTGGCCACACCCATTTCCACTTTGGCAATACTTCTTTGGGATTGCAGCCCTGGGTAGAGAGCTACCCTGAAAAACAATTTTTGCCTTGCCTAAATTGCCCAGCCCTGGGATAGGTGAAATATATTTTTATAGTGTTCTGAGCGGCTGGAATCCTGTTGTGCAGTTAAACAAAAGGTGTAACTTTTTGCACACTGGGTCCTTAACATTGTATGTATGGGCTGGTTTATCTACAAAGTAGCTCCAGGAAGATCAGTTTGGCCAAGCCCGCTGCTGTGTTGTATTAACCTGGGATTTTATGTGGGTATTATACATATGTTTTACTCAACTGTCCCACAAACTGCACCAGAGCAGAGAGAGTTCTGACTCCTGTCCTCTGAAGATGCCAACCACAGAGGCTGGCAAAACGTTAGGAAGAAAAACCTTAGGAACATGGCCGAAAAACCTATAACAACCATACACTACAACAACCATACATATGTTTCTCACAATTCTTTTGTGTGTGTGTGTGTGTGTGTGTGTGTGTGTGTTTCTCTCCCATTGTGGAAATCAGGACACCCACTATACAGAAAAATATTTTTCTGATGGACATGGAACTACTTTCTGTCTGTAAAAACGAATGTTATGCAGGAATGATGGAAATATTGTTCTGTTTAGGGTTGATCCAAAGGGGATAGAAGGCCAAACCTTTAGAGATATTTTCAATTTGACAAATGTGAATGAAGAGGATCTAAACAGCCATTTCATCTGCCTGGCTCAAAACTCTGTTGGACATTCCACGGGAATTTTCAAGCTTAGAAGAAAAAGAGAAAAAGGTAGAACTGGCCAACAATATTTGTTTAATCCGAATAGTGTCATCAGTTTTGTGAATGTCAGAGATGATTTACCCTTAAAGAGGAAAACAAAAATTAAAACTCAGCATTGAACGTCTATGATGTTTACTCTCAAAACATTTCATTTCATATGCAGGAGAGAACTTTGGTACAGTAATTGGAATCATTTGCCCTACTTTGCCAGCTTCTTCTCTTTTTACAGATGTACGGTAACCCTGCTGGATTGAACCAAAAGTCCATCAGATCCAGCATTTTGTTTCCAAGAGTTTTGTTTACCTACATGCCTCTGGGAAGCTTAACAAGTAGGGCATGAAGGCA